ATATATATTACAGCAAGACACCACAGGTGAATAGGGCACACATTTTAACTAATAGATAACACCAAGTTTTCTGAAATGTTATGTTTGTTTTCTGAAATGTTATGAAAATAAGGCACTGTGTTACTATGTTTACACTAATTTGCATAAAAATCCAGAAAATAAATCTGAACACTGGATAAAATTAGGTTCAAAATTCTTGGTTTATTCTGTTGACATATTTTTTTTTTATTACAGATTGGTTTTTACAGTGTTTTTTTTTTTTCTTTTAATCACTCCATAAATCAAAAAATACTGTCAACAGCCAGAGAAAAAAGACATTTTCACCATGTTTTTAGGAATTAAGTGTTCTATAAATTAGGCAAATGATATAAGAACAAACACCTCAGTAAAAATCGTAAGTATATTGATCGGAATAAAACTGGAAAGTTTGGTGTAACTAAAGTGAAACAAAATATTTCTGGCTCAGTGCATGAGAAAAAAGTAATATTGAGAAAACAACATCTAAAAATATGTATTGCAATTGAAATCTACAAACACAAATAGATAAAGTATAATAAATTAGATATTTTTTAAATAAACAATGTATTTAGGATGTTTCCTTTCCATTAGTTCTTTCCAAAAAAAAAAAAAGAGCTATGAAAGTAAAATAGCTAAAAAAAAATTTGACTAGTGCATGAAAAAACAATAGGTGTGCCTATAGTATCCTGCCTTAAATATCTAAATATTATAAATGAAGATTGGAAAAAAATGAGTTCATCGGTCTCTGCTGCAGAGATATGCAGCTATGTAGGCAGTTTTGCAGGGCTGCCTCTGGCTGCCCATCTGAGGATGTCCGGCTCTGACAGCCGGTATTTGGATGGAGCACTTCCAGGGCTTTACCTTTGACCTCTGGGTGGCTGAGTAGAGAAGCTCTTCAACAGCTGCCCTCTCAAAACAGCACCGAATAAAGTTGAACCGTCTAAAATGGTCCTTGCGCTCTTGATGGCCTATTAGGCAACACTTTAAATGCCTTACATATACTGCCTTGATCTCATCCAGACCAGGCCTCCCTCTTCAAAGCCATTAATGAGTCTTTCCAACATGTAGATTAATATTAAGGCAGAAGTAATTAAAGTCAGTAGTAATTACAGGATTTTATTTTAAGGCAGCTGCATCTTCTCATGCCTTCAGCTCTGATGGCATCTGAGTGAGTCCGCTGCAGTGATCAATGTCTCTGGCCCGTTGCCTGACAGGGATCTTTTTTGCATTCTGTCCACAATTATGTAAAACTCTCTGCACTTCACTGTGTTTTATTCCTTTACTTATTTGAAATGCATATGGAAATACTTTATATAACAACTAGGCCTAGTTGTTTATTGGGAGCTGTTGTAGTCTATATTTTTTACTCTTTATTTGTGGTGTTTAAATAAAAACTAGATTACAGACAGATGTGTGTTTTTGCCGTTTGTGTTTAGGTCTCAGTTGTGGAACTGCAAAGACGGGCTAGTCAGTAGATATCAAGATATGTGTTTTTACACCTCAAAGCATGATGCTGTACATGCTTTTTGACACGTCAACTCCTACAGTATTCCTGAGTGAAGCCAAGCTGCTGTCCTCCCACTTATGAAAAATTATCCACTCCTTTGAAAAGAAAATTACAGCTCATAATACATATTTAGAAGCTGCTTTCTCCATCAAAACTATTGAAAGTCCACTTGAAGTTGTAAATGTCAGCAGAATCTTTCCAGTTGTCATAATTTGTGATGCATTTGATAGGGCATAAGGTTTTTATTATACTTAATTTGGGTGTAAAGTATTGCAGAGTTTTTTAAATTTGGAGGAGAAAAGCATGAGATGTTTGGCTGAAGCTTTGAGATGGCTAAAGGGGCGGGAGAGGAATGCACGGCTCTCATAGGCTGTTAATTTTCTTAGCTCCTCCTCCCCTGCTGCTGCCCCTCCTCTCCTCTTCCCTCTCTCCCTCAAATATTCCCCCTCTCCCAATGCCTCTGAAGTCGTCACTGAAGCTTCAGGAACGAGGGGAAAATAGCCTCTGTCCCTTAAAATGGTGCTGGATTCGGCAGCCAATGAGTGGAGGGATGAGGGTTTAGGAGCCTAAAGGGGATGGGGTGGGGTTTGTAAGCAAGTGGGGTCTAGTTTCATTTTTTTTCCTGCTTGTCACTATTTTTAAAGGGCCTTTACTTGCTGGTGACCTCAGTGTTAGCATTTAGAGCCTCCGCCGTGGCGCTGGAATGAAGGCAGATTATTATTAGTGTGTGTGTGTGTGTGTGAATGAGGAGAGGAGAACCGTGAGGGTCTTTGATGTTGTGCAGTGTGTTGGTGTAAAGCCTGTCCATAATCAGTTGTAATAGTCTGGACGTTTAATTAAAGATCCCAAGTGAATCTAATCTAATCTAATCTAATCTAATCTAATCTAATCTAATCAAGTTGAATCTAATCTAATCTAATCTAATCTAATCTAATCTAATCCTGCACTGGGAGAAAGCCATTTTCCTAAAGGGTGTTCGGACATTCCCACCACCAGTGTCCTAATAAGTGTTATTGAACTTTATGTGCCATATATAAACTGATCATCGATGACCAATATCATGGCCTATATATGTATCAATATATCTGTTCAAAAGTTTTGGGTCATTAGGATTTTTTAAGAAAAGAATGAACACTTTTATTGAGCATGAATGCAATTAAATTGATAAAAAATGACAGTAAAGACATTTAAAATGTTGCAAAAAAAGTTTTTCAAATAAATGCTGTTGTTCAGGATTCAGAGAATCCTGAAAAAATGGCATGTTTTCCACAAAAATGTATAGAAGGATTTGTGAAGGATTATGTGACATTGATGACTGTAATTTAGTTTTGCCATCCAAGTAATAAATTGCATTTTAAAATATATTCAAATAAAAAAAAGTTATTTTAAATTGCAATAATATTTTACAATTTAACCGTATGTTTGATCAAATAAATGCAGTCTTGGTGAACATAAGACGACTTTCACAAACATTAAAAATATCATACTGACCCCAAACTGTTGGACACTATTGTGCAAACATGTTTTGGTATTATATTAGTTTATATATTTTCACGTTACGGCGGGTAATTAAAGTGTTTTTCAAAATAAAAAAACTATTGTCTAGTAACAGGTGTGGTATTATTGTAAATATCTGAAGTTTAATCAATCAAATCATTGATGTACAGTATAAAGTTAACCGTTTGAATTGGGGGGAAACCTGATATAAATGAAATTAATTAGGGATGCACCGATATGAACATTTTGGCCGATACCGATAACTGATAACCGATAACAGAAAAAATGAGCATTTATCGGCCGATACCGATATGGTGGCCGATATATCGTGCATCCCTAAAATTAATTTTGTTATAAATGGCAACCTGAAATAAACAAGCCACTAATGCATCAGTGTTGCCACTAATAATGCATCCCTAGTAAATTATTATTGCAGTCATGTGTTTTAAACAGTGTTCAATATATTCTCTCTGTCCACTCTTTTGTCAGTTTCGCTGTCTAACAGCAGTCTGAAGAAGAAGAGGACTCGCAGCATCTTCAGCTCATTGTTCTGCTGTCTGAGAAGTTACGATGCCGAGCCCCCCGCCACCCCCAACAACAACAGCAGCCCTCTGCCTCCACCTGTGGAGGAGAACGGAGCTCCACCAAAGGTGAGACGCCCAAACATCCTCTTTACACAGGGAGTGATTACAGTCAATCAGATGCGTATTGATTGAGACCTCTGCTTCTGCGTCTCACCGTCATGTGTGGTTTGCTGATGTTAAGCAGAAGTCATCACAACTCTCTCTCTCTTTTTCTCTGCAGACTGTATCACATTTGTCTGAATTATTGTCCATTTGTCTTGTGGTTCAGCACCTCATTTCCTCTCCTGTTTGTTTCCTCTGTCTTCATCTCTCATGTCCCAGTGTGACCAGGTTGAGGTCATCCCTATCCCCAGTGTATGTATGATTCCACTCCACTCCGTGCGTCTGTCTATGTGCTCTCGCATGCCGCATGGAGCGCCGCACCACTGTACACTCTAATCCACTTTTGAAGCGGCTCTGTGGACAGTGATGCACTTTGGCTGATGGATGCTTGCATGCACCGTATTTTATACTACTTCTGAGGCGACTGGAAAGCCTAACGTTTTTCCACATAATTATAGGTTAAGGCATTTTCAACATGTGTTGGCTATGCCCATCTTCCTGCTTTTTAACTATTGGGAGTATGACTGCTTCTGATTTGATAATGCAAGTGTTTTTCCACTGTATTCTATTCCGTTTAAAGGTGCTGAGTAGGGCTGCACGATAAATCGCATGCGATATTTAATGCGCATCTTGTCAGTAAAGACGGTTCTGTAGCGCATTAAATATCGCATGCGATTTATCGTGCAGCCCTAGTGCTGAGCAAAATTTTCTGCACTAGTGTGGCAGCGCCAGTGTTTACAGAGTCCAACAGTATTTTAATTTTTTTTACTTTCCCTGCCAATATTTTCACTGGCCTGTTTTTAGCAATGCGTTTTTATATTTGTTTGAAATAATTAGATTTTCATTCATGTTCAGTATCCTCTTCACAGTTTTTGTTCATACAAAAATTTATTATTTACAGAATAAAACTTTGTAACAAGCTGAAAATTTTACAGCTATAATGTAGCGAAATAAATTCATTCATTTTTGTTGGAAAGGTATGCCATACGATGCAAAACATTACTGGTTGGTTCATTGTTTAACATAATATTCCTGATGCTTCGAAGACCTCTATAAGTATTTTACATTTATATTTAATCATTTAGTAGACGCTGTTATCCAAAGAGATTTTTTGGAGAATTCAACGAAGCCTTATAATTTGCAACAAAAGTTCAGTATTTGGGGGTCAGTAAGATTTAAAAAGAAAATGAAAGAAATGTATACTTATTAATACTTTTTAAATTTATAAATACCGACCTCAAACGTTTGAATGGTAGTGTACAGAGATCAGTTACATTCAAAAATTTGTCAACTAGGCCAGCCTTATTGTTAAAGTGATCGTTCACCCAAAAATGAAAATTACCCAATTTGGCATTACTCAAGCCATCCTAGTTGTATATGACATTCTTCTTTCAGACGAATACAATTGGAGTTATATTAAAAAATGTCCTGGCTCTTTCAAGTTTTATAATGGCTGTTGATATTCAGTAGTCAAATAGAAGTCCAATAATCTGCTCCAATCCATCATAAAAAGTGCTCCGGGGTGTTAAAAAGGCCTCCTGAAGCTAATCGATGCGATGGTATAAGAAAAATATCCATATTTAAAACTTTATTTTATTCTAAAAGCCTTTATTAACCCCCGGAGCTGTGTGAAGCACTTTTTGTGATGGATGAATGGGTTTTATTGTACTTCTATTGGACTATTGAACATCAACAGCCATTCAGTGCCATTATAAATCTTGGGAGAGCCAGGACATTTTTTAATACAACTCCAATTGTATTCGTCTGATAGAAGAAAGTCGTATACAAATCTTGAGGCTTGAGGGTGAGTAAATCATGGGGTAATTTTCATTTTTGTGTGAACTATCCCTTCAAGTCTTGGTTTGCACCTTTTTGAAAATCAACCTACAAGTGGCTTCCTTGCATTTTTTTTCTTATGTTGTGATGTTGATGAAAGTAATATGACACTTCTTCATTTAAAAGGTTCATAAATAGGTTGGCCGATTAACTGCGATCTTTAATTGATAAGGGTTTTCGCGCATCTCTTCTGCTGTTAATCTCAGTGGTAGTCTAAGTCCAGTTGGGAAGGTCAGATCTCATGATCCTTAATGATTTCATCACAAGATTTTAGTAACCCCACAATGACGTTTCTGCTGCATGATTTGCTGTACCGTTGTTTGTGTACTGACTAGGAAGTCGCGTCAAGCCGAACTGTAAGTGTTGTAGTTTCTTTCTGTGTTCATTCAGCAGTTCAGACTAGGATCATGACTGCACCCCAGCAGTTCCTCCTAAGCTTGATTCATCCCATTAAACAGGCAGGGATTTAGATTAGATGGACTCGACAGCATACTGCCTCCCTCCATAACAAGATTGCCTCTGCTTGTATTGAGACGGTGCAGCGAGGATTAGAGAACTGGATCAAGAGAGGGACCCATTCACCCGTAGCTTATAAATAAAGTGATGGGATTTTATACAGGCAGCTAGTGCTGAAGTCACTCTCTAACCTTACCCATCCTGCATCTCTGATTAATGTGTGAGAAACCTTTTAATCCCCACGCACGGCCGTAATCCTTTCCACTTCCGCTCGGAAGAGCTGGGATGTTACTGCATGAGCGTCATCTGTGCAGCTCAGGAAACACACTTCCTAAAATGCCCAAAGCTGTCCCTTACAATTTGTGTAGATGGTTGGGAACCGTGCTGCTTTTCTCCCATATTTCTGCTCATTTCGCTTGATAACGGTCTAACACGTCACTGTTTAACCTCCCGTGCCTCATTTCTCACTAATTTCTCTGACGTTGCTCCATGTTCATCATGTTTACTCTCTCTGTTTTACATTTCCACAGCCTCCAGAGAAGTACCTCCTCCCTGAGGTTAACATAAATGACTATGGGAAGAAGTGTGTGGTAATAGACTTGGATGAGACTCTGGTGCACAGCTCGTTTAAGGTAATTCATCAATTATTGCCTGTAGAAGTTAGTTCAGGTGTTTCCCAAACAGAAACAACCAGGGATGGACTGCAGATGCAGTGTAACTGACTTTTCTCTGTAATTTGCTCAGTGACTGTGACCCACTGTGACCTATTTTGCGTTAGGGATACACATGTATGTGGGCAGAGCTTCCTGTGATGCTTAGTGACGGCCCAGTCAGGGCTCATTTGTCTCTGCTGCTAGTAGGAGGAGAGTTGGAGAGCAACACTGATTGTGAAACTCAGTATTGGGCTTTTCAGCTTCTTGATCTGTGTATGAAGCTCAGAAATTTAGTGCAGGGCAGGGTTTTTATGGTTAACAAAAACTGAAACTAAAATTAAAACCGTTAAAAACATATTTGTTACTTGAAATCAAATAAACTTTCTTCCAAGGCAGATTTTCTCATTTCGCATTACACGTGTCTTTCTGTGAAATCGTGATTGATTTTTATAAAAGTAAACAATATAACTTTTATATTGTTGGTAATATTTCAAGATTAAACACTTACTGAACTGAAGCAACTTATGTTTACTTAATCCATAAAAATGTATCACCAAATATACAAATACAAATATACTCGCCATGTTGGCCATATAAATATTAGCAAGTTAGGAACTGCACAAAATTGCATATTTTGGGCCTCGGAATAAACAAAGTCTGTGAGTCATACAGTATGAGCCATAAAAGCCTGATATACCAAATACGTTTTTTTTAAGGCTCAAACTGCTCAATAAAAATAAAAAATAAAAAATTTTCTGACTGTTTCATATGTCAGGCTTTGCGGGGTAAATTTGCCTTGAGGTTCATTGATTTCAGTCATGCTAAGGACAAATATTTGAGGTGTGCAGTTCTCAAACCTCCCTCACAAGAGATTATTAATATTTGATTAGGCAGCTTTGTGTTGAAAGAGCACAGACGCCCTCTGCTGTTTGTTATCACTGCACTGTCATTAAATAGAGCTTATCACATATCAGTAATATCTGATTGTGGTCATAATGTTTATCAGCTTGTTAGTTTATGTAATATTTGGATATAGTAGATGGGAATTCAAAGGTCACTTGAGGATTTATTTTAACTATAAGAAAGACAAAGCATGAGAGAAGTTATGATTCACAGAAAATGCACATTAGCAACTGTCATGTTCAAGTTGTTTGGGATAATGTTGAATAGTTGTGTGTGACTAAAACCGTGAGATGATGTTATTTTTGTAGAATCCGGTGATACAACTGACTGAGTAGTGATAAGAATTTTCTAATTAATGGATTCATGTATCAAATGCAACCTGATATGGTTTATTCTTGGTATTTAAATATTCTTTATTTGGAACATTTTAGAAGTGCTTGCAATAAGACAAGTGTTTAGTCTTCAATGTAATACCTACTTTATCGGAAGGATATTTCCGAAAGTTTGGGTGGGTTTCATTGGATCACTTCCTCCACATTTGTCTCCCATCTGAGGCTGGCGCATAACTCGTCTGTGTTGTGTTTGTTTCTTTCTCACAGCCCATTAGCAACGCTGATTTCATCGTCCCAGTGGAGATCGACGGCACAGTGCATCAGGTACAGTACTGATGGAAACATGTGCTGGTTTCATATTACACTGACATCAGATTGATGAAAATGTGAGCAATTATAAATGCTCTAGTGTATTCTGTAGCAGATATGAAGCCATTTATGTGTTTTATGTCAGTGTCAACTTCATTAGATGATGTGGTGGCTGTTCCCTTGTTCAAGTAATCCAGGATAGGCTGTCTGTCCTGGGAGGCCTATTCATGATTACTTGCACTAGGTGGCAGTCGTTTGTCTTCATGGAGCTGATGCAAATCGTCTGTTTTGGCTTTCAGATTGAAGAACAAGAAAATGACTTATATTGTATTATATTGTTATGTTATATTGCTATATTATATTTTATAGTGTATTGTTTTATGATGATGTAGTGTTATTGTAATATGTTTTATTTTATTAAGATTTATAAAGATGACAAAGATTAAATCAGTCATTTAAATTAACTTAAATGGCTCAGCGTATTACTATTATATTTTTTGCTTATTTTATTATTATGAAGATATATTATACATTTTCTAGTTTGTTTAAAAAAGGATTTCACTTATTATGTGTTATGTTATAATAACACAATACAGATAATACATAATAAAGGTTCAATTTATCATTTAAATTAACTTACATGACTCAGTGTATCACTTGTATTTTTTGTTTCACAATTTTTTATATATTATTAAAATGTATTCTAAATTTTTATATGATGTTTTGTAGTATATTGTTTAAAAAAGATTTAACTATGCGTTATATATTATAAAGATTCAATTTATCATTTAAATTAACTTAAATGTCTCCGCGTATCACAATATTCTATTTTTGGTTTTGTAAATTTTATCATTATATGTATTATGAAAATGTATTACATTTTCATGTTAAATTTTAGAGAGTAATGTTTCATAAAGATTTATGTAGATTATAAAGATTCAATTTGTCATTTAAATGAACTTAAATTGCTCCGTGTTATTTGTATTTTGTTTTGTAAATATGTAAATATGAAAATGTTTTATCATATTATGCATTTTCATATTTTATAGTGTATTGTTTTATAAAGATTTTACTATTATGTGTTATATATTATAGAGATTTGTAAGGATTATATTTAACAATCCTTACAAATTTAATAATTAGTAAATATTTTATGAAAATGCGTTATTATTTAGACTTAAATTGCTCAATATTATATTAATTTATATATTTAAAAAAATTATGAGGCCTGTATGTATTATGAAAATTTATCATCAATTAAAATTTACTTAAATAGCTGTTATCACATTACTACATTATATATAATATCGTACTTTGTATTATATTGTTTTATAGCGATTTTATGTATTATGAGCACTGTGTATCACAATATCTCCCCTTCATAGGTGTATGTGCTCAAAAGACCTCACGTTGATGAGTTCCTGCAGAAAATGGGCGAGCTGTTTGAATGTGTGCTTTTCACGGCCAGTCTAGCCAAGGTTTGTCCACCACACTACGACACTGACTCACTTAATGTCAACAAACATGTCAAAAGACTCCCCTGCTGGGTGGGTGTTGATTCATACCTGCTCTGCTAATATCTGACCCCCCTCTCTGTCTCTGTGTGGCCTGCATTTGTTTTAGCCGCTAATGCATGGGTAAGTGTCTCTATGGCAACTGTGCCTCTTCCAGAATGCGTGCCATGTACCAGTAGTTGCAGTCGCTGCTGCCTTCACCTTTGAAAGCTCACATTGTTTGAGTTTGGCCGCTTTTACGATACGCTGTGAAGTTTCATTTGTCGCTGTATCTGTAGCCGATGTGTTTTGTTCTTCTCATAGCTGTTAGTGACACATTAGCTGTTGAGAATGTATGCGGCCCACTGTAGTTTAGATCATGTGTCTTGGTTGCTTCCGTGTCTGTTATATCGAGAACATAACGGCTCATTGGCTTTAAAGCTTTCTTACTGAGAGGCACATATCTGATTATGGTTTGTAGGTTTCCTTACAGTCCTCTTTGTAGACGTTTTTGTTTGCATAGATATGGAAATAGTGTTGCGTTGCCCTAGCAGCTTGCTTTTTCTCTTGTTTTATACTTGTATTTGTTGCAGGGAGCAGCTGGACGATTCTACAGTGACTCGACTGTTTAATCAGTGCATGAGCAGCTTGAAGGTCCTCCTTTAACTTGTTTGTAAGTGTCTGTCGTGTCTGTGTGTGCTTCAGTATGCTGACCCGGTGGCTGACCTGCTGGACCAGTGGGGTGTGTTTCAGGCGAGACTCTTCCGGGAATCCTGCGTTTTCCACAGGGGGAACTATGTTAAAGACCTTAGTCAGCTCGGGAGAGAGCTCAGGAACGTCATCATTGTGGACAACTCCCCTGCTTCCTACATTTTCCATCCTGAAAATGCTGTGAGTTTTGATTGCTGATGAAACTCCTAACTAAACCACAGTTTGGTTACTCTTGCACTTATATATAGTAGTGAGAAAAAACCCCATAAACATGACATTCAGAGTCACGATGGACTCTTATGAGACAGATTCTTTTAGCGAATCACGATCATACAGCTCAGCCAATGTAGTCGCCCGAATTATTCTTATTAGTGCATTAAACACACACAGCTTACAATTGCTGTTATGTTGTACTTTAGACCTAAACTGGTTAATATGGTAAAACTGGTTATTCATATGACAGTGTATAGTTAAAGCTACACTAATTAATTAAATTTTTTATAATAAAAAAAATATTATTAATCGTAAAAAACCAAACCATATCTTTACCACACTCATGAACCACATTCATCTGCAGAGATGAAGCATAATCTTCTTTCAGTTTAATTTTTAACTCCAAAAATGGCCCAAAATTACATGTTGTACCTTTAGTGTACACCATACTGTACACATTATGAGAGTCATTGATATTTTAGAAAAATCATTTGCCACAAATAAGTGAATAAAATAAGTATCCACCTTTTAAATGTAAATAAGTATGCACTTTTTAAAACTGATTTCATAGTGCCCTATAAATATAATTAATTTTTTTTGTGGTAATAAAAATAGATGTAATCTTCTTTATGCACCAAGAGCTTGTAACACTCCAAAGAGAAAGGAAAAATTGAAATCGCATCATATGACCCCTTTAAAATACATAATGTATTATAAACAATAGAGCTAATGTACATTACGCATTACAAGAAAGGCCTGCAGAGGGTGCCAACGGCCTGATTATTATTTTTACACGTTGCTGTGCGATCTAATACTTGTTTAATATTGACCAATCACCATTTAATTCAAACGTCCACTTAATCTTTAATATTTGGCCATTTTTTATGACAGAAATGCTATAGCCACTGTAATTAAAAGAATATGTGGACATCAAATGTGTGAACTCAGAGTGAGGGTTTGAGCTTTTATTTTGAAACCGTGATGTATTCTCCTGAGTTTGCATTGATTTATAAATTATTTACCTACACGCATGTAAATAATTAAAGTGCATATACTGTATTAGAACTGCATCGCATATAATTATTTAATTAAATCGTAGCATTTGTGAAATCACAATTATGCTTAATTATAATTTTTAAATGGGTTTAATATATCATGCAGCCTTTGGAAACAGTCTAATGTGTTTTATGGATTCTCGTCCGTGAAATGCGCCACTTCCGGTATTTTGCCGGTTAGTCGGCGCGAGCAAAATGATGTCGAGGATTTGTAAAAATCGAATAGTCGAATAAAATCGACGAATCGCGACAGCCCTATTGTAAATACAACTTAACCACTGATTTCTAGTCGTGTCCAAACAAAGTAGTTTCGCTTTCACAACGAAACACACAGCGGGCTAGAGTGAGCGGAGGGCGGAGACCTAGAGTGAGCGGAGGCGGGCGGGCTTGAGAACGGCGTGGCCGGTGGATTCGATGAAGGAGCGTCCGGTGGGCTTACGGCAACCACATGTGACGACCCCGGGCTGGACTCCGCTTCGTCCACGGTGAAAGCCGATCCGGCGATCCACAGCGCAAAGTTGATGTATTTCCTCAGCGACCAGCACGGATCAGCTCCAGGCATGACGAAGCGGATATCGTCCTCTTTTGGAAGGCCAAACAAAGTAGTTTCGCTTTCACAACGAAACACACAGCGCCTTCACAACTATACTACAGCGAGAATAAAAGTTACGCCGCCTTTCTTTGCGTGAACATGTGGGTGGCGTTATGCAAATCTTCCCACATCGTGACGTAGACATGTGGGGGCGTATTAGAACGAGCCGTTTTAGGTAGGCGTGGCTGACTCTTAACTTTTATAAAGAATATCTCTTTGGATTTGAGACTTTAGTCTTTGCAACTTTACAGATCTTCTTTATGCACCAAGAGCTTGTAACTCTCCAAAGAGAAAGGAAAAATTGAAATCGCATCATATGACCCCTTTAATGATCTTATATTTTGGATATTATATTCCCCAACCCACCAGTTCTTCTGCCTCAGAAGTGCCAAAAGAATCGTTATGGAACCAGAATCATAAGAATCAGAACCGGAACTCTGATACATTTCTTTGTTCCCATCCTTGTTCTTTTTTGTTTTATTTAGGATCTATTTTGGTTTCAGCAGCAATTTACACTGTCTGTAAAAACCAGTACAATAACACTGGCAATATTTTTTTTTCCGTCGTCACACTGAAAGTGAAAGTGCTTCACAATGTGACAAATGTACAGCAATATTTGTTGTGGAATATACAGTTATGTGAATCAAGATTTTGGACCAAAAACATGTCATAACATGAATGTGATTATATTATCAGATAATAACTGTGTGTGTGTCTTGTGAAGGTTCCCGTGCAGTCGTGGTTTGATGACATGAATGACACAGAGCTCCTGGACCTGCTGCCTTTCTTTGAGGGACTGAGCAAAGAGGAGGACGTGTACGGGGTGCTGCAGAACCTGAGGGGCAGGTAGCAGGCTGAGGGGCCAGTGTGAGTCCCCCCGCCCCGCTCCACTCCCAGCACCTCTCTCCTCCAGCCTGCAGTCCTCACCTCACCCATACCACCAGGACACGCACACCGGGACATAAACAGACTCTGAACATTTAATGGACACTCAAATATTTCTCTTTTGAAAAGTGTTTATGATAAACCAAAAATTCAACTTCTTTTTCTTTCCCTTTTTTGAAATGAAATATCCAAGTCATAACCATTCTCTGAGGTGTTGCTATGCAGGTAGAAATCAGTAGGGTTAAAGGACTGTGGGGTTTCCTCTCTGACCCAACAAAGTGCCTTTTTTGAATGTCATTTTTATGGGGGAAATGAACATTTTGTACACAAGAGAACCTAATCTTTACAAGAATTATATGCTTTAAAACGGAGGCAGGTCAGACTCTTTTTATAAAAGCACTGTTAAAGAGGCCAGAGATTTGTAATTCTGTAAAGCTGGGTACACGTCTCCATCTTCTGTTCTTCTCGTGCTCCTTTTGTTTTCGATTTTGCTTTAGCTTGTGCCATTATATAGACCGAGACTATTATCTAGACTTGTATACGTTTAGTTTGTTTTCTAAGAGCAAACGAATGCATTTGCACTCGTTAGGTTACTTGTCTCATATACCGCAAACTCTTTTGCCAATTAACCCCTTAAATCGTGCCAATCGCTAATATTTGTCTCGCAATCTGATGCTGAAGTACGTTTCGTTTTCAGCGAACAGGCCCGACGCTAATATTGGTGCTGGAGACAAATGTTTGGACATTTCAAAAACAGAATTTTAGCCACTAGTCTTTTTTTTGGAACTTTACGTTGATCTGAATGCCTTTGGTGAAGTAGCGTAGACACTGCAGTTGTTCCCCCGCTAATCGTTTTTAAAGGGGAAGTGTCCTTTATGGAAACCAGGATGCACAATTGCAAATGTATCCCTTTTATCGTCTTTAATTCTTTTCTGTTTGAGTCGTGAGTTCTTGAGAATTGGTACAGGTCCATCGTCTTTATATTTAAACCATATATAAACCATACCCTGCTGCTGCTACCACTGTATACTACACTACAAAAGACCTCCCTGTAGGGTACCACCAGTACCAGCCCAGGGACTAGAGCGCTGTGCAGCTTGTGCCAGAGCAGAACGGACGCAGTAGGGCCTTAAAGGGTTTGTTCTTGTCCTCTTGCAGAGCTAAACGAAGCCCTTTTGTCCCAGTGGGGGTTTGAAAGTGTTTGGCGCAAGCTGTGCAAGACTCTCCATCACCGCCTAAGTGCCTAAGACGAGAGGAGCAGCGGCGGGATGTCCCGATCCGCTGCTGAACAGGCAATAACCTCTCTCTCTCTCTCTGCCCAGAGTCCGCCACGTCACAGTTTGGTCACTACATCTTGTCCTCTTTTTTTAAATGTTTTTTTTTCAGTCTTTTATCGTCTACCTCTCTCCGTCTCTTCATCCTGTTCTGCGGCAGGCGACGGAGAGCGATTCATTCTCACGTTTGTGGTCTTCTGTCAGTATTTGAGATGTATGCTTATGTTAGCCCACGCTTGTTGACGTGCTGTACAGCCTCTCTTCAGTCGTCGGCGTCGATCTTCCAGACTGCCTGGATATTTGGCTTGCTAGTATTTTTGATTTCTAGCTTTTATTTCGAATTGTCAAACAATACTTTTCACATTTGCATATTTCACCTTTTTCTTTGAACACCATAGAGTCCTGGTGATCTGGCAGCGTTAAAACACTATTGGTTTTGCTCAGTTGTTGTTTGCTTCTGTTTTTCGCAACTAGACTGTCAGGTGCTGTTTTTAAAACACTGTTTTTGTGTTGTCACTTAAATATCTCAAGTCGGCACATTCAATTACATCATGCCTTATGTTTTTTATCGAATTATAATTTTTTTTTAGTAAGCCATACAGACACTTTAAATGGTCCACAGATCGACTCGGGGGTTTGAAAACAGTTCGGAGAGGCTGTGCAGTGCTGATGTTTGGAGTATATTTCAAGCTGAATTGATTCATGGTTGTCGAAAGTTTTCTTCCGGACTCTGTTATATTAAAGCACCTTTTTAAAAAACAGCACAATGACTTTTATTGGACTTCTTTTATATGGCATGTGCTTGAAGTTCAGTATCTCAGGTGTTACTATTTCTCCAAAGCATGTCAGCTCTTGCAAGGTGTTTTGGCATATCTTAAGTTGTTGGTTGAGAGATTTTACACTAGCTTTAGTTTGTTTACAGAATCAGCAGTCAGGTAATTTGGTTTTATGATTATAAACACATGATTTAATTTAAAACCTGAATTTTGAATGTCTCGAGTATGTGGTTCATCCCTTAAGAGCTATATAAACTACTAGTTTGTGTAAATCCTGATGATCCTGTTCTCCAGCATGATTTGAGATTATCCAAAGAACAAACCATCCATACAAAGGAATCACACTTACTGATTTGTTGATTTGTGACCTACAAATAGTGCAGAATCTTAATATCTCGCTTTATCATAGCATGTTTTAAAAAGTTTCAGACTTGAGCATAATATGAAGTGATACTCTTTCAAATATATGCTAATGTCATCCAATTCTCTGCTGTTAAATAGGAAGTTCTGCGATGTTACCAAAGTAATGCAGTTTTTCTTCTGCTTTCACGTGGACTGGATGTCTACACTAGTAGAGCTCACGCTTTCGGTCTTGCAGATGTGAATCCAAGTGTCTATAACTGCCAAATATGGCATTATCCCACAAGCTCATTAAACTTTCTTCATGCCTCTTTTATCTGGTTTAAGCCATTACAGAATAAAAAACTTAAAACCTACAGTTCTGAATAACTTAGATTTATTTCACCTTTACATGGATGTATACAGTTGGCAATGTGTTTTATCAAAATCACTGATTTTATGAGTATCGGCATTTTAAGTACCTCATTTAATAATGACATACATCGGATGTGGTATGTAACTACATGAAAGACAAAGAAACAAAGTCTAATGCAGGCTTAACATGTATCTAAAGATACTACCCAGAGGATGGAGTGGTTCTGTTTATCTGTAATTCCACCATCAAATGATTCCTCTGCTAAAATCTGAATATCTAAAAACAGTACTCAGTTTAACTAATACTAAACGTTGACAATGCAATCTATTTGGCATACTAAAATGTATAAATGCACTTTACAAATCGTAAAAAGTACAAAAAAAGTTATTGATATGCGAGACCATCATATCACAACTTCTGAAAAGTTGCTCTATTCCCACAATTTCTCATTTACCCATTAGAATCACTCAAGCTGCCTCATGTTTTGCCGACCCTTCCACATATCCACATATGATCATCTCAGATACAGTATAAAACCTGCGCCATCATGTGTTATTCAGCATCCACAACCATGATGTGAACAAAAAGTCCAGCGGAGGAAAGGTGGTCTCCATTCTTAGTGAGCAGTGGCACATGGTGATATCCTTTGGCATAACAAACAAACTATTGATTGTCTGCTTATATGGTTATAGTAATATTTATCATGCATACTTAAGACAGCAACGGCAATTCACAAAAACAGAGATGAGCATGTATTTTAACACACTAACCGTTCTTTAGGCTGTTGAAGGGAAGAGTGTACTGGCCAATAAATTCATTGTTCGAACTGGAGTCGTAGTCCTCAATCGAAAAGCGCACAAGGGCTAGATCTGGCACACGCACATCAAACTGGAAGTTCTCATTCCACATGGGGTTGAAGCCTTGAGAAACAACAGAGAGCGATTAAGCACCATCTTGATCCTGAGGAGTCCTGACTGAGCACATTTAGAGAGTTATTATACCGTTATTCTCAATGTACTGCGTTTCTACCATCGTGGTATCGGCCGGCACACCGTAGACCTGCACTTTCACGACAGGATCAACAATGGAGGACTTCCTTTCGCTCACTTTGGGTAGCTGCTGGGCTGTGATCACCTATTAGACAAACAGAAACAGCGCACATGTAACACGCAGCATTGTAACGAAGATATGCAACTACAGATCCATTACCATCACATGAAGAGTCTTGTTCTTTAACCACGGTCCATCAGGAAGAGTGATGGGGTCAAATTTAGTGTCTCGGTCTCGTAGGTAAGAAGGCTTGAGGTTGTAACCACTCTGTCCGTTCTGGAGGAAGAGCCCCCGATTCAGATCCATCTCTGGGCAGGCTGTCTGGAAATTAAGGGCCACTGGAGAAAAGGGAGATCAAATGGATTGTTACAATCAGGTTCGGAGAAACATTTTAAGCTTTAAAAAGCCTGTGAGTTTAGCACTGTGACATTAACATCAACTCTAACTAGATTTGAAAATGCACATGTCTTAGTGTCAGTTGTATGGTGGGTATACAATTCATGTCTTTACCTATCTGACAGCCTGCGTTCCACAGAGGCACGGGGTTGTAGTTTGAGGAGTCTGTTCTCAGTCCCGCTGGGTAAATCCGGCTGAGTTTGTCTATATTGTGACGGATATAATCGTTCGCTGTGACAGAAAAATAAAGTTAGCTGAGGAATGTGTTTGGATAGTTGACAAATAGACATATAGGCAGAAAAGTTTTTGAAAGGCAGATGATTTTAGATGATTATACTTATAATATAATATATACACACACGCACCCACACACACAGGCTGCATTTTCTGCAAAATACGGTTTAAAAAAAAAAGAAATATTGAAAAATATTAAAAATTAAAATATCAATTTTCAGTTTTTATACATGTTACGGTATTCTGTCCTTTTGCGCCTCCTCATTGTTTTCATTTGGACTTTTTTTTGCGTCTTTTGGTCGCCCTTTTGTCAATTTGCAGGGTGGAGACTTAGAGACCTGCACTCCCGCGGGAGTACCGCGGGACCCGACGCAACAGGATGCGGCGCGGGACTACTCTTGATGGGCGAGTGCGGGTGCGGGAGAGTAAAATGATTCGCGGGACTCCCGCAAAATAGAAATTATCTAAACAAAAAGTGTCTAAAACATATCAATTGTTATTATATACAAAAGCAAAAAGAACAACTAATATTAACATTAAAATGACTGACATGCGCAAGCTAGGCATAGTTTCTATTTATAACACGTGTTTAAAGGTTGCGCAATGTAGCCAATCACAGACTCAGCTGTTGATTTCTGGATCAGAGGTGATTAAGTTAGAATCTACTCACTGCAGTGCTGAAATTGCGTGCTCACGAATCCTCTCATTTTAACACACGAAGTGTAGACACTGTGAAAGATTCATTGTGCATATATTTATTGTGTTATAACAGAGCTTTATGAGATCGCGATTAACTGAGATGTCAGCTTTTAGTGATAAAGGAAGCGCGATGCTCGCATTCTGCCATGCCAAACCATGCACGCAGCAGCACATGCTTGCTTTTCTGTTAAACATTTTATTTGATTTATTTAGTCATTTAGCAGACGCTTTTATCCAAAGCGACTTACAAACGAGATAATAAAAAATAACAGTGGGTTGTGATTGTGTCCGTCCTCCAGGGTGGTGTGCCCCGTTTGAGCTTGACTTCTCTCCAGCACCACATTTTGAGCCTTTTTTAATACTTTATCTTTTTGTTGTTTTATTTTCTCTTCCCTTTTCGGGTTTATCTTCAGTATAAATTACTTTAATAAATGGTTATTTTGAGTTAACTTGCTTTGTGCGTGGCCTCCCAGAGGCGGACAGTAACTAAGTACATTTACTTGAGCATTGTATGCCACATAGAGATGTCAGAGCTATGTGAGATCACTACCATCCTGATTTTGTGGGGGTGGGTAGGGGTGTTAAAAATTTTTTTTTTTTTAACATTCTAAAAGCTCTTTATTCCAAATATACTACAAGTTAGTCAGTGTATTCAGCAGGTGTAATGTATTCTAAGTTGCTTCAGAAGTATTGCAAGTACTACTACGTACAACAATAAAACAGTGCATTGACATAAAAAAGGAAATTTACTTTTGGTACTTAAGTACTTTTAAAAGCAAGTACTTCTGTACTTTTACTTAAGTAAAAATCTGTCTTTACAACTCTTACTTGTAATGGAGTAATATTTGACCAGCAGTATCTGTACTTTCACTCAAGTAATGGAGTTGAGTACTTTGTCCGCCTCTGTGGCCTCCCCATTTATGTTACGCTGCCCTGAGCCTGCTAGTTTGTAACAATACATTTTACATTTTATTCCTGAGATGTCAAAAGCTTATTTTTTTTAGCAGCCTTCAGTGTCACATGATCCTTCAAACAAAATGTAATATGCTAATTTGGTGCTTAAGAAACATTTCTTATCTTATCATCTTATGTTAAAAATGCAGCTTAATATTTTTGTGAAAACTTTTGATAATAGAAAGTTCAAAAGAACAGCTATCTTTTGTAACATTATAAAGGTCTTTCCTGTCAGTTTTAATCAGTTTAATGAATCTTTGCTGAATAAAATTATTAATTAAAAAACTAATCTTAAAATAAAAAATCTTAGTGACTTCAAACACTGAACTGTAGTGTACATTGTTTTAGATGCTGTAACTTTGGTGTAAATTACCATATTTTTCTTAAATTACTAAAAATAAAATTTGTATAGATTTGAAATGAGAAAAACATTTTTTTTTTTTTTTAATAGATAATTTTACGTTCATGAATAAAATGGGTCTCTCTTTTTGCTGTCCAGTAAAGTGATGAATATATGAATGGCTCTTTTCCTTGTTAGTCACCTGCTCATTTCCATATTCAAAGTTGTGTCAAAGGTCTCCCTCATGCAGAACCATCATCTGTGACGTTATGCACGTTTCTGACTGTGTATTTTGCAGCGTAACAAATCTGTGCAGCTGGACAGACTCCAAGTCATGACACATACTCATGTGTTTAATAGCCTGTGTTGTGTCTGAGCGGCATAAGTCATGACATCACACCTGATTCCTCCGCCAGTTTCACAGCTTTTCCCTCTTTGAAGGAGGCCATCTCATAAAAGGACTGCTTGTCCTGGGAATCCTCAAATCCATGGAAGTGGACACTTTTGCAGTAGATCACGATATCAGACAGCTCCTTCGCCAACTTCAGCGACTTTGTTTTCTGTTTTGGGTATATGTAATTACAAAATAAAAAAAAATTTGAAATCAAAAG